TGCCCTGTAAATAAAAACTCAGATGAAACGCAATGTTATGATGAGAGAGAGAGAGAAAGATAGTAAGTGAGAAAGAGAGAAAGAGAGAAAGAGAGAAAGAGAGAGAGAGAGAAAGAGAGAGAGAGAGAGAACAAGAGAGAAGGTGAGTGAGAGAGACAGAGAGAGAGAAAGAAAGAAAAAATGGGTAAGAGAGAGAGGGATTTACTTTTATTAGAATGAGCAGAATAAATATAATTTATTAGACAAACACGTTATTCCATTATAATACCTTTAATCAAACCTTAAAAACCGAGAGGGCTTACTTAAATTCATGAGAATCGCATAGTAGGGCGATATTTGAGAGCATATTATTTCCACTTCCCATCCAAGAGTGTTGAATTTTGCGAATAGTATTAAGCTCGTATCAAATCAAATCTCACAAAGATCTTGCAAAATGAGTTTGATGCCAATCGGATGATAGTAAGGCTAATTGCATATCACCGTTTTCCACCTAACTTCCACAGTTACAGGTGAAATTAGCTCGCGTATTCCTAAAAAAAAAGAAAAACAAATGTTTTTATGTAGAGCTTTGAATGTTTGTGGCGAGCGAAACTTAATACTTTGCTCTTAAGATATCTGAACTCAATTTTTGTCAGTCAAGCCATTATTTTTCATTTTTCACATTTGCCAAAACCCCTTAACGTGCATTTATCATAATAGGTAGCTACATTTAACGATTCAGTTTAATAGCTTTTACGATTTGGTCTGTGCTTTGATCAATAATCAGTCACTCGGTCAGCTTGAGCATTTTTTTATGCCTTATAAAGGGTATGATAATATTGTCATGCAATGTGTAACACACAGTAGGAGGAATCTTCCACCCCATCACGTATGTATATTCCGTCTGTCTGAATTATACGCAAGCCAGTCCCTCAGTCGGGAAACGTTGCATAGTTCCGACTTTCTGTTTCAGTCAGTATTGATATATATATGTATATATGTATATCAAATAGCTGCCATAGGAACGTACAGTCGCTAATCAGGTTTCTGTTTATCAATATATATTGACCGAACCTCGCATTTATTATGTTAAACTATCCAGCTTACATATAAGCCAAATCTTATCAATATCGCACTAATAACTTATATAGCTATATAGGAAAAGTCGGTTTGTTTTCCGAGATATTGTCATCAAACTCAGCATTTACGAGCTTTACTATTCTCACATATTGGCAAAACCGCAAGGTATAAATAAGGACGAACACTCGAAATTGTTCTAGTCGTAGCCAATGCGGATTTGTTTTACTGCCTGTTGCATACCTTCCCTTGTCCATAGCCTTGTGGTGGGGCTGCAGCCGCCTGACAACTCTCCTCTTGCTCGTCAACAAATGCTTTTCTTGGCCACAAGCCAGTAATTTGTTCTAGGCGCCGCTCCTATATGGAAAATAATTTACATTTGTTCGATTTGCATCTTCAAAATGCACCTTTGGCGCCAAATACAGAATAGCTCATGATTAATCGTATCAAAATGCCTATCGATATTGGATTCAAACATGGCGCCTCTGAGTTTCTCTGCTGTAACAGTTGGCGAACAGTTGGCGAACAGGTCGGTATGCGTAAAAATATTAATGCAAATACCGAAATATGTTTTGAATTTAAACAAATTTGTGTATTTTTTTGCACCTCAGTTGTCAGGTTCTTTTTCAACTATCATCGATAGTTAAATACTATCGGCTAATCGCAGTCAGCCTGCCGCCACATTGATTTACAATCGATTTTTTTTACACTTTACAAACGGTTTTTGTTGCTGTAATAATTTAATTTTTTGTTTGATTTGCTTGATTTTTAGCTGCTTTCTCCCGTGCTCTTGCTGGGTGTCTTATGGGAATTGTACGTAAGTAGTATTTGTGTTTATATTTTCGATTTTTTTAATCAACTTTCTCCTCTCCCGCTGCACATAGACCACGCCTGGCTCGTTTCTGCCGGCCTGTCACAGAATACCTATCGTTTGTATTGCCAGGCAGCGCGCACCTCTGCAGCTCACCTTTGCAACCTTTTCAGACAGTGCTTCCATGCAAGCTGTGTTTTCTGGTGCGGACCTTGGAGCAGCTGGAGACTAGAGACTGGACACTAGAGACTGGTGACTGGTGAGTGCTGCTCTTGTCAGCTTTCCCAGCGCCTGTGCCAGACTTATCTGCTGCCGTTAAGATCGTTTTCTGGTGAGTATGGCATAGCTTTATTTGACGCCTTACCAGCTCCAGGAACGTTGTGCACGCTCTTAAGTCTAACCATGCTCCTTAGCTGTCTGTTTGTCAGCTGAACGTTCTATTCAGGAATCTCGCACGCCCTTAGCTTTGAGCAAAGTCTATCAACTTCTTTAAAAACCCCTTACGTGGTTAAATGGGACCAAATTGACGCACTCGACTCGGTTAATCTCTGTCCCAAATTGCAATAGTTAAATTCTTAATGCATCTTTACGCCGACTATTTCGTGGCCTGTCGCGAGTTCCATTTCCGTTTCCGGTCAAGCAAAAGCAAACACCAAAACTTGAGCTAAAGGCATTCGCTTTTATTGTTGTGCTGTGCCCCTCTCCGCAACTCCGCCACGCACAGCCGCACAACCGCAATTGCAATTGCCTTTCTCTTGGCTTGCTAACTTTTTGGCAGCAAAGAAAGAGTGCTGCCAATTTAGTTGAAGTAGTTGCCATGCAGATTGTAAGCACTTCCTGCGGCAAGGAATCGCATTTGCAGTATGCCGGACATCATTGCAATTATGATTCCTCTTGACGCAGATAATTGAAATGCAAAACAAGTAAAAGGCTCTAGTCGGGAATTCCCGACTAGGGGATATCCTGAACACTTTTCTACCAACAGCAAATGCAGCTCGCGCTACGAGCAGTATTTCGATATCGATTTTTATCGATTGCTTCGATACGGGGCAAGTTATCGATTATCGAAATAGCTCGTACTGCGCATGGACTCATACATACGGACAGACGGACGGACAGACAGACGGACATGACTAGATCGACTCGGCTATTGATGCCGATCAAGAATATATATACTTAATGGGGTCGGCGATGCTTCCTTCTGCGTGTTACATACATTCGCACAAATACATTATACCCTTTTTACCCATTTTCAATGGGTTCAGGGTATGAAAATGATCAGAAAGTTTTGATTTTCGAACCGAACCCGATCTTGAGCAAAAAGGGGATGTAAAAAAGGTTGGTCGATTTGAGTCAAAATTTAGATTTTAATTTTTTGATGATTTATGAATGGATAGTACTGATCCTTACGAGTCCAAAATGGTATAAAATTCCCAAATCGGGCATTATTTGGCCGAGATATTCCAAAAAATCATCAAGAAAGGTTGACTTTACAAACCAATCGGTTTTTGGTCAACCACTTTTTTTAACCGATCGATTTTTAAAATGTTTGAATGCCAATTGATAGTAGGGATCCCTGCGAATTCAAAAAGGTATAACATTCCTAAATTATTATCCGCAGATATTACATCCGTTTTCTGTGAAAATATTATACGTGAAAGTTTTCAAGGAAATGCCGTCTGTAACTCTAATGGTAAATGTTTTCGGACTGTAACTGTAATTTCTTTTTGTTTTGGTTCCATTGAACATTCGTCAAGTCCGATAGTTGAAGGTAGAATTCTTATTTTTTGTTTAATCCAATTGTTAAGAAAGCAGCTATTAAATAAGCTAAATAAAATATGCATGTATTATGCATTTCAGACAGAGTGTTAAATTGTGAGTGACTTAAGCGGACGAAAAAACCGGCGCAACGAAAATGAGCAAGCGATCAAAATTCGAGTGAGAACAATGCGACACATTGCTTACAATACACATGCACAGAAACACGTGTATGCGCAGAGATGAGCCAAAGCCAAAGCCAGAGATAGCAGTCAGCTGTTCGTGTGTATGTTCGCTGTCATTTTTCTGGTTACGCTCACGCGCTGTCGACTCTTTTTGGTGCTGATCGCTGATTGGTCCAATCAATAACAGCTGGCTGTGAAGTTCTCGTCTCGTGGGAGTGCTCGTGAGAGTGCTCTTCTCTGTGAGCGCCGCTTTTATGGATCTGCGCAACTTTATTCTGTGTTAGTGTGGCCCTATTAGTCGACAGGGCATGTTGTTGTGCTGCAAGCGATAGTCTATTAAGCTTAAGCCTGTTATTATTTTGTTATACCTTTTTGTGGATGTGATGCATAAGTAGATAAGCCGATTCTCTCTGCACACATATGTTTGGTTGAGTGTTTTTGTTTTATTGCTTATGCGTTATCTACTTTTGAACGGTGCTCACTCGAGTTGTTGTGCGCCGACTTTTGTCCACATGATTTTGTTTTAGTTAAACGGCAGCAGTCGAGTAAAGCTGTTTTACAAAAATTAGAAGTGCCAATTCTCAAGTAATTGCCATCCGTATTTCTAATGGTATATGTACGTTTTCGGACTTGTACGGGTCGCAAGAATTAATAGCCATTAAAAAAAAATCCCTGCTAAAGTTTGACAAAAATGGAATCTAAATTTGAAGGAGTCCATCGATTTTATGGACTTTGACGAATGTTAGAGTGTTTATTCTATTGTAATGTTCTGCTTACTTCGCAATAAGAAGATAATGCACAAGCAATCATATACACTTACATACATAGTTGGCGATTCTCTCTGCATACATACATATGTTTGGGCTTGTGTTTTCGCAATTGATATCTACTTATGCTTGTCTATGATTGCGTATGCCTTATCTACCTTTGAACGGCGCTCACTCGAGTTTCTGTGCGCCGACTTTTGTCCACTTTGCGTCTGCGCAACATGATTTTGTTTTAGTTAGACGGCAGCAGTCGACTAAAGCTGTTTCCGTATCTCTAATGGTATACGTATTAATAGCCATTAAACAAAAAATCGTAGACTTTGACGAATGTTAAAGTGTTTAAGTGTAGTTTATCGTAATTTTCTCCTCACTTCGCAAAAACTTCGTGGGAGCGCGATAAACAAGAAGATAATGCACAAGCAATCATATACACATACATACATACACGTGTATGCACATAGTTGGCGATTCTCTCTGCATACATACATATGTACATATGTTTGGGTTTGTGTTTTCGCAATTCATATCTACTTATGCTTGCTTGTGCGTTATCTACCTTTGAACGGCGATTACTCCAGTTTTTGGATTGCTCGCTCAGTTTGCTGTGCGCCGACTTTGAAGCTCTTTGAAACTATTATAAGGGATAATTCTCGGGTCAATATCGTCCGTATCGGGAATATCAATTGACATGTAAAAAATCGGCTTTTGAGGTTTGACCAAATAGGACAATGGTTACAAAAAAGTGTTTGCTGAATTCTTGTCGGTTCTGAAATCAAAATTTCTTGGTGCTCTGTCGATTTTGAAGACTTTTACGAACCCCAAAAGGTATATCTTTCCGAAGTCGGACTTAGTTTAACCGATATTAAAAGCTTACCAAATACTAATTAATTTTTGTAATTTTGCAGCTAAATCTGCCATGGACAAGAAAACATTCAATAGCGTTGGTACCTGAAAGACCTTGGTTATTTCATGCCATGGATATACCTTAAACAAAATCTTATTTTAATTTTGACCAAAATGGCAACGGTTACATGTACGTTGTTGCCAATCTGCGTCGATTCTCAAATCAACATTTTGTGGAATTCTGTCGATTTTAAAGACTCACGAATCACGAAATTAAAGGTATGTCTTTCCAAAGTCGGACGTAATTAAACAGACTTATTTTAATTTACAAAAACTAATATATTTTTCATTTTGTATTTTTCAGCCAACTCTGCCACGCCCATGGACAACATTTATTCAGCAAATGATCGCTATTCATGGTACCTAGTTGACCTATATATCCTTGGTTATTCCATATCATGGATATAGTCCTAGCGAACCTAAAGGACAATGTTCTTGCGTAATGCGTAGGAACAGGGTCCAAAATGTGTATGCTTTTCCTTAACACCCGCCCCCTGCAACAGTGCCGCCTTCTAGATGGTTTCTAGTTGACTAGCATATCCTTGGTTATACCATACCATCGATATAGTCCTTGGGAACCTATAGGATCAGATCCCTGCAAAATGTGCATTGAAATGGTCCAAAAACATGTATGCTTTATCTTTCAGGAGCCCTTTTACATTAGCTGCAGCTGCAGCTGTTGTTTAACAGTCGCCGTACAGCACTCATTTTACATAATCTGTTACTTAACAGTACTCATTTTAATTGATTTATGTTGAAAATGTTGAATGAAAAGAACTCGTCGACCTCCTGGGCATTTCTGTTCGCCTGGTACTTGAGCGGAATTTTGGGCAAATTTGGGGCCGGCGACGAGGGTGCCCCTTTTTACTACGTCACTTTTCGGCTGCGAAAATATTATTTGTCGACCTTCTGGGCATTTCTGTTCGCCTGGTATTTTGCCAGATTTTTATACAAAATCTCGGCAACCAGCGGTTGCCAACAGACGCCCCTGGCGGGTATGCAATATGTTTCTAAAGACCGTTGACTTTTGAATTTTTAAATAAAAAAACAGGAATTTCTTGTTGTATTTTAAATAACTTATTTATTTATGTTTCAATTCACCAATTTGTTGTTTTTTAATGCTAATTTTCTTAATTATTTCTCTTAAAATTATACAAAACGAGCATAAATTATAATTTTTGCTTATATGAACTTAAAATAGCTATATCTGGCTTAATTAAAGACCGATCCTGGAAAAATTTGCTTTATCAGTCGTGGAGGTCCTTAGAGCTCATTGTAGTCCTTAATTTGTCAATCTGAAAAGATAAAAACACATTTAAATTAAAAAAGGCAAAAAATGTATAAAGCATTTTATGTTATGAAAAAAGGACATAACTCGTTCATATCCTTGCAGATTTTCAAAGGACATGGTGCGTTAGGATCGTATAGACCCCCTGCATCGATCTGCATCATAAAAATATGGGGTCATCTAAGAATCCCAGGGCTTCTATTTTGACTTGTAAAATTTCAGTCGCGGAGCGCACGGAAATGGGCCGAAAACACAAATCCTTGAATATTTCCTAAACTACAAGGACGATCTCAATGAAATTTGGCCAGTTGGTAGTCCTGGTTAATATAATTTTTTTGACACATGTGTCGCAAGGATACGCAAGGATACAGCCGAATTATGGGCTATTTTCAGTATACAAAATTGTCCAAAAAACTTTTTTGTCTGAAGGACTTTCGTCCTTTGAGTTGTCAATTCTGTAATGGAAGGGTGAGAACTATCTGCTGGCCAAAGGACATCCCGATAGTCCTTCAAATGGCAAAGTTAGCCCCGAATTTTTCGATTTTAGCCAATTTTGCGACTAACCCCCTAGGATAAATTTCGACGAAATTTTTTGTCGAATCATGGAAATCCTTGAATGCCAATCGATAGTTCTGCTCACCACGAGTTTAAAAATGCATATCCTTCCGATATCCTTTAGGATTTGACCGAGTTATGGCTAGTTGAAAAATGTCCTTTTTACAAAATTAGCCATATATCGAAAACGGCAAGGACGATTTTGTTGTCCTTTCGGACAGTTTATGGTCCTTGTTCATACGCTTTGTTTGACACAGGACTTGTCAGGATCCGCAAGGATATGGCCGAGTTGTGGCTTTAAAAATGTTCGAAAGAATTGTACTCATATCTGGGCTGTCTAAAGGACTTTCGTCCTTTTCATTATACATATATTCGGAATTGGGAGGATGAGGACTAACGGTTGGCCAAAGGACATCATGATCGGCAAGGATACGGCCGATCTACAGCCTTTTATCTCTCCCGACAAAAATCTCTTTTCCTCAGCTCCTTAAAGGATTTTCGTCCTTTTTATTACATATTCTAAGTTGGCAGGACAAGAACTACACGCTGCCCAAAGGACATCAGAATGGTCCTTAAGGGCGTCGATTGTTTGATATACACATATACATATACTATTCAGGAAGCTACTTGCAACATTTGGTGTCTCTAGCTCTTATATCGATATTTATCGATTGCTTGGAACAGGGGCAAGTTATCGATTATCGAAAGAACTCGTACTACTTAGGACTAGGAGGACCTACATTCAAAATCTCAAGTCTCTAGCTTTTATAGGTTCTGAGATCCTTGCGCTCATATGTACATACGGACAGACGGACAGACGGACGGACGGACAGACAGACGGACATGGCTAGATCGACTCGGCTATTGATGCCGATCAAGAATATATATACTTTATGGGGTCGGAGATGCTTCCTTCTGCCTGTTTTCATACATTTGCACAAATACATGATACCCTCTTTACCCGATTTGAATGGAGTCAGGGTATGATGATAGTTCAGATATAGATGAAGTTGTACGCTTTGGCGGATTCTTTTCTTCCTTTATGCATCTTTATAGAGCCCATTCCCTTTGAACGATTTTGGCGGGCCTTGCACCTGCAGATATCGCATTTCTATATAATCAATCAAAGTAGCCTTTGAACTGCCTTAAATAAGTTTTCCTTCGAATGGGAAATTCTCTTCCTGCTCAGTCTGTGGCTGAGCCTCGTCAAGCACAGATCTAACTTTCTTTCTCTTAACTTATTTTCGTTTGTGTTCCTCTTCTCTCACATTTTTCTCACTTTACTTTGTTTATACAGTTTTTATACAATATATGTATACAGTTTGTCTATCTATGAAAGCGGACAAGGCGATAAAAATACTTTTCACTCTTCCCTTGGTCTATTTTTCTTCTTTCTTTTTTTTTTTTACTTATTAAATTGATTAAAAATTTTTGTGTTTCTCGGATTTCGGTAATTGCGCTAGCTGCTTTCATTCTCCATGGTTAAAAAAATAGATTTATTTTTTTATTTTTAACTATCGATGTTAAAATTAAGTTAAGTTTTATCTGAACTTAAATTCAATTGATTGTTGAATATTTGTTTATTTTAAGTTTATATCTTTCGTTTTCTTTTTGTTGTCTCATATTCGGCCTCTTTTTTATTGAATGCCAACTGGATTGGATAAGTTTATATCCAATCCGAAGGCTTTTCCTAGCAAAGTCTGCGGTTTTTCCTGTTTCCTTATTTAATTAACTTAACATTCTTTTTAATCCCGCTCCGCGTAGAAGACGCCATTGCAAAAGACTTGCGAATCAATAATTCTTTTCTCCACTTAATAATTGATCCGGGATCTCGGTAATTGCTCTAACTGCTTCCATTTAGAGTTGAGCAGCGAATCGGGTTATTCGACTAGTCACAAGATATATTCCAATTTTCTCAACTGAAGTGCAGATTCCTTTTAAATGTCCTCTCACGACTTCTGAACTTCTGCTACTACTTGTATCCCTATCCACGGGTAAATATTCTATATTCGAATACATTTAAATTTTCATCTTTTCTTTGATTGTTATATATCTATCTACTTGGAATATCTGAATATATAAAGTTTTAAGGACTTTTTGTGCACATGAGTATCTCGTCTTATTGCACAGCTCATTTATTTATTAAGAGAGGAATCCAATCAAAATTTATGTTTTATGGTGATTCTATCTAAAACGTTTTCATTCATTTTATTTGATTCGATTATTGTTAAAAACTTATTCATAAATATTTTACGTCCCCGCCTTTTAGTCTTGTCCAAAGCCAAATAATATTTTATTATTTGTTATATATATATTAATTGCCAATTTAAGTTGTAGATGAATCTGAATCCCGGCAAAATCAGAAACTTATTCGCAGTGTGCAAAGAAAAAAGGTTATTCAGAACATTTGAATGAATCCTTAAATATGTTTGAGCCTGCAAGAACTATCTACCTTAACACAGCGCATTTTTGGCTTGCGGAAGAATTCAAAACTAAGAAAACCGTTTTGCTTAACCTCTCACTGATATTTTGACAATTTCCTCTTGTTTAATTTGATTTGCATTTTCAAAATGGCGCCAAGCATTCGTATCGGCAGTTTCTTCATCGATATTGTGCACTATCGATATTCTCATTCACAATGGCGCTAAAAAATACCAGCAAAAAATACTAAGTTTGTGGTGGGACGCATATGTGCATATGAAAACCTAATGAAAATACCACAATATATTGTTAATTTAAACGATTGCAATGAACCAGACTCTTTGCTGGTGTATCTTTAAAATATGTTTTTCTCTTAATTGCAGTTCAATTGTTGCCAGTTTCTCCTCAACTATCAACCAGCCGCCACATTTATTTATAATCGATTTTTCATAACGGTTTTTTTTAACGGTTTTCGTTGCAATATCAAAGCTGAAAGTTGTTTTGGAGCCAGGAAATGTGAATGCCAGGAATGAAGTGGATATTATTGCCTATTGCCGAAGCTGACTAAATTCTGCGCCCAGGCCAGAAGGTGGGACTAGTATCGACATCAACTGACAGAAAGACAGCAGAAGAGCAAAACGCGAATGCGAACTTAAGATGAAGTCTAATAAAATTGAGCCCGAGAACTTACCTGACGAGCTGGGATTAATTGCGCATCGGGGGTATCACAGTCGACAGATGCTCGGCAGGACAGCAGGTCCTGATGGAACCTGGGCCTATTACTAAACCCTTCAGATGCTCCCTCGTCTGGCCGACTAATTCGTCTAAAAGTGCTGGGGAAACCAAAAGTCGACTGCATCTGGCTTGATGCTGCGACTAACATCGAGACGTCACAAAAACTGCAATAAACATATTTTCATCAGACTTCCGATTGAACGTGAAAGACTTAAATCTACTATTCCTACAATCTATGCCAAACTTACTACTCAATTATAAAGCTATAAAAATATACATGATTCTTACACAAACCTAGTCCTCTGTACTTATTCAAATCAGCAAAAATAGCTAGCACGTAGAAGCACAGGAACAAAAATGAAAGAATATTTATTTAAAAGCGCCCTGTTGCCAAATTTCTGTAACCTCGTTGCAAAATTTATTGCGTGCAATATTGCCATACAGAGAAGAATTGTTGCCCCACTTTAGAATTCCATGCATTTACAGTGCCACGTTGCCAAACTTCAGGTTTGTGAAAATTCAGTGCCATGTTGCCACACTTCATAGCCGCATGTTGCCAAATTGCACTACAAAGTTGCTACATCACCAAATTGGTTATAAATATTCAGATGAATCAAAAATAAATGAAAAAAGTTATCGGAAAACGCGTGAAAAAGTGCAATCGGTAAATGTGTAACCGATTGGCTCTGAAATTGTAATGTCCAGTTAATCTTTCTTGGCATTATTACATCTCTGATTAGCGTGGCGGCTAAAATCACGACAAAAATGAAGAGCATTGCGTTGTGAACTGTAACCGCTTAAATTCAAATTAAAATTCAAATTTTAGCGCGCGGTGAACTGAACTGTAGATGGCGCTGCTTGATTGCGCTATATTGTGAATGGTCCGGGCAAGCAACGATTAATACCAAAATAGTTGACCGCCTATCGATACATCGATATGGTAAAGCAGCGCTGCGCAGCACACTCAAGTGATGTTCTGCGCACTGTTTTTGTTGTTTTATCCACTTGTTTTTGTTCACTTTTATACACTTCTTCGTTCGGTTCGGTTATTGTTGTCGCTTGCGCTGAACGCGCGCACATACGTTTTTTTTTTTTAATTTTTGTTGTTTTTCTATCCAAAAAAAGATGTTTTAACACTTCCGTGGACTGTGTATTGTGTTTTCGTTGGTTTTTTTTTGGGCGCAAATGCAAATTTCAAATGTAATTTCTTAATGTCAACAAATAAACCAACACCTAAAGTGAGAGAGTGAGTGAAAAAGAGAGAGAGAGTGAAGACGCTCTCATAGATTGTGTACGGTTACTTTTTACTAATGTTGTTTTTGTTGTGTGTTTACAAATGCGGACGCCGCCGATGCTGCTGCTGCTGCCCACTGCTTGAATAAATGCGTGTTACTTGTATTTGTTTAGTTAATAACTAAGTTAATGGCACTTGTGCTTGTGCTGGAATTCAACAGATATTTGCAAATATATATTAAATAAAAACAAAAAACAGTGCGACGGCCAGTTAAATTTCACCAAAATCAAAACAAAAAAAAATCATTTTAAATAAAAAAAAAACAAACACAAAACGTGACTAGTTTAATTAATGCAGCAAGCGCAAACGCAGCGGCAGAAGAAGAAGAAGCAACAGCAGCTACAACCATTACAAGTGAATTTTTTTTTTTTGTGGGCAGCTGACGTCGCTGTCGCTGTTGCGCCGCCGCTGTTGTCGCTTAACGTATGTATGTATGTGCGTGTGTGCATGTGTGGGGAAAGGGCGGCGGCTATGTGTGTGAGCGTGTGCGCTATTGCTGTTGCCGTTGAAATAAATGCGTGCAATTAGCATTAATATAATTACAATTGCCGTGCACAAAATGGGGGTGCAATAATTGAAGAACAGCTACAGCTTAAATCAGCACCAGCAACAACAATTGCTTAGTAATTGTCATGGCGGACGCGCAGTTATTTCGTAATGGCAGCAGCAGCCGCAGCAGCAACAAGAAAAGTCGCGGTCGCAGCAACTGCGTCAGTTGTAAAGCGCCGTTATTACACGCACACGCACGCGCACCAGCCTGCTGACACTACACATGCATTTCTATGCATATATACATATGTACATGCACACACACAAACACATGCAAACGCACTTGTGCTCTCTTCGCTGCTCGCTTGCACCACACGCACGCTGCAGGCAGCTACGCGTCGCCGTCTTCTTCATTTATCCGTTTCATTCGTTTGCTTTCTACCTGCAGCAGTGACGTTGCGACGCTTTCGCTTGTTGCTGCCGCTGCCGCTGTCGCTACTGCTGCTGCTGCTGCTGCTGCTGCTCTTCCTATCTCTCGCTCGCTCTTCTCTGCTCTGCTCTGCTCTGCTCTCTTCGGAGAGCGCAGCAGTAGGCAGTGTGACAGTGCCGTTATAATTTTGTTTGGCCATAAAAAAGCATTTGGCATGGGCGCATTCCTTGAATTGTGGCCGACGCGTCATTCGCTCAGCGGCAACGAATATTGTAATCAAAACGAACGACAACAGACAGCAGCAGCAGCAGCATCAGCAGCAGTAACAACAATTTTGTAACAAGCGCGAGTTGCATCTTTTATTTGTTTCTGCAGAAAGAAAAGAGCCAACGCCGCTGTCGACGCTGACGCTGACGGCGCTGTCGACGCTGTAAACAAGTGCAATATTAATTAAGTGACGACCTATCGAGAGAGTGATATTTACACACACAAATACACACATGCACACGCACACACAGACAGACAAATAATGTTATAACAAGCAGAAAAGGAAGAATACAACAAGCAAAAGCCGCAATAGTCAACATTTTTGGGTTTCCACTGTACTCGCAACGGGCAGCGCCATGAAGCAGCAGCAGCTACAACAACAGCAGCAACAACGAAAGCAACAAATGCTGCTTCTTTTTGGCATTTTAACAATATTCTGGCCACAGGTAAGTGACGTTTAATACCCTTTAGCGATACGGGCGCATCGGGCCTGCTGCACTTGGTGATTCCGTTAACAACAGTAAATGGAATACAGATAGTTGATATATGTATGTGATAAGGGAGGATTGCCATATCTTGAAATTAAACTGATTTGTACATTCGATGTAAATTACAGGGTATATAGCACGTCACAAAGAGAATGCTAGATTCATTTTACAGGGTATACATAGTTGTGATAAACGATCAAGACGGATTATTCATGATATGATATAAAGTTGGTAGCTCTATCAAGTGTATGTATATAATTGATATGTTAAATGTTTGTTACATATTGCACATATGTACAATGTATGTACCTCACTGTTAGAGCTCGTAATACGCCCAGCCTTATCGTCGCTGCGGCATTATCTGAAAAAGGCAGCGACTGCTACGTTGCGCCGGGCCTCTGAAATGCAGGGGGAATATGGAATGCGATAATATATATGTACATATAATTCGCTCCATTGACTAAACTTAGTCAGCAGCGGTTGCGAGGGGAAAGGGGCAGGCACGTTTTAGGCATGTGTACCAAGTATTTCGAGATATATTCTGACTAATGACTAAACGAATACAAATTTACTCGTCTATTTAACGCGCCAAACATTTCAAGCATGCTCATTTACGGAGGGGCACGGCAAGACAACGGAAGTATGCGCTGCCAGGGGGGGGGGGGGGGGGGGAGGGGCTGACAAAGGCAGGCAGGAGTTACAGCTCGTTCAATGCACATTTTCTATTCGCCACATCGAATTCCCAAGTTGTTTAAGTAAACAACTGCAGCAGCAAGAAGAGGAAGATCAGCAGCAAGAAGAGGAATATCAGCAGCATGAAGAGGAGGGGGAGATCAGCAGCAAGGAGAGGAAGATCAGATTCCTATTCTTGCCCCTGCCCGTCCCCCTCGCCAGTTTGCTCCCCTTTTATCGGTCTGTTCTGTCGCTGGGAACATAAAACATCGATTCATCGTTATTTACTGCGGCTGTTGAATTTCAATTGGGGGATTTTCTATAACTCAATCTGTCTCACCCGGCCTCTCTCTCCCTCTCCCTCTCCCTCTCCATCCCTCTCCATCTCTCGCTCTCCCACCAATAATTACAAATTACAATAATTAACGCCCCGCTGTTCTCAGCCGCCCGCACCGCCCGAATTATCCCCCGCATTTTAGCCTAGGCAAAGGCAATGTGCATTTCTGAATTTTTATTATTATTATTTTTTCCTCTCTTTGTTTTTGGTGTCATAAACTTTTTAATCACTCGCCGCAGCCGGTTTCATTTCATTTCGTTTTGTTTTTGTTTTTATTTTGTTTTGTTTCGATTCGTTTTTGTTTTTGTTTTTGTAACTTGGGGGCTAAACCCGAGATTCCGTAACTCCGTAATGCCTGCAATCAATTGTAGTACGTCGGAGAACTCGTTCTTTAATCTTTAACCCGCGTTGTTTTAGCTTCGAGCACATGCACTCGACTTTTTTCATCTTCTCTGCCTAAGCTTTAACCAGTTCGATCTTTATGTATATATATGCATATATGCAGATTTGGATATATGTTCATGTTCGATTTGATTTCATTTCCTAGCTGTGACACTCTTATGCACGCTCAGCCCTGATAGACCTTTCTCTTCAAACTTAGCGTAGATTAGTCTCTTTTTTTTGCATTTACTTTTTACAAAACTCGTTTCATTTTGCGTACAACTCAATGCGACACATAAAAAAAAAAAAAACGAAGAAACCAGATGGAACACCTAAGTGCATAAATGCAAAGTCTCAGAGAGAATACCCTAACTGATAAGCGTATTTGTTTTATAATATCTTAGATATAATATCGTAATTTAAGTTTTCGTATATCTGGAGTAATGTCTGTAAAAACTAAAATTACAATATCTATTTTATGTAGGAGTTAAATGCAGTATTCAGATGCTTCAACTATATGTAGTTAGATAGAAAAATATATATTTTGAAGAAATATCTTGGAAACCAAACAAAGTTTTCTTAAAAATAAACTAAATTTCTTTCTATAAAATCTACTCTATATCGAGTGCAAACTGTAAAAGCTAGAAAACTGAATTTTATATAAGATATGACCTAATTCCGGAGAGTTTCTCTCGCCAGGGCTAAAATTTGTATGGAAATTTGTTGTTTGTAATGTATTAAAAATAAAAATAAAAAAAAAATGCTAACCTTTTAAACCATTTTAATGGGTTCAGAGAAAATAGATTAAATATTTAAAAAAAAAACTCAAATGCAGCCATAACAAATTTCATTAACGTAGATCAAACTGATCACATGGAACATTCAAATTCATTTTTGGGGAATGTGAAAAGTTCTTTACTGGCCGAGCTCGATGTCAATTAATGTTTTGTTACACATCTGTTAGCATAGTTAGCATACCCCTTGTTAGGGTAAACAGAACTCGAAAAGCGAATGAGACAGAAACAGAAACCAGATATGCGTAAATCTAAATAATCGCTCAAGGTTGGGTGGTTCCTTGCTCGCTTTGTGGGGCTGACGTTACGATAACTAAAAGTTGTCCTGTCTCCAGCTAAATCAAAATTCTGCATCCTACTCCAACTCTGGCTATCTCGCTCCGAGAACAAAAAAAACCTATGCCTCGCGTTCAGCCGTTTATTTGTTTATTGGCCCCAAAAAACAATACAGAATTGAAAAAAAAAAGAACCAAGTTTACTCCAAAAGTTGTTTTTGCAGTTTGCAATTAAAATCACTCGGAATGCGGCCGCTGACTGTTTGTTTTGTCTCTGAGCTCACGTGCCAAGAGAACAACAACAACAACAACAACAACAACAACAAATAAAAATAATAATAATAATAATAATAAAAAGAATAACAACAACAATTTGAGCGAGATTTCGCCTTGACTTGATCTTAATATCAGATGCGTCGCCGCATCATTACGTGCCGGGCGTATTCAGCCAGTGACAATGCATAAGTACTCGATACCTGCCACACATTACTCACTATTAACTACTCGTTTGGGTAGAGTATTTGACATGTTCTGCTCGGTGCTCGGTCGCGCGCATTACTAAGCGCCTCCCGAAAAAGGCCGATGACATCAGCGCATGAAGTTTGTCACTTCCAGTTTATTTATTGTTTTATTATTATTATTTTTTATTATTTGCTATGTAAAAACTTTCATTGATGCTTGTTCTGGTTCTGTTTTGAGTTGTTTAGCTTTCTGGCTTTCTGGCAACACTACTTGAAATTACATTTATTTTAATCACAGATCAAACGCTTCGCACCGCCATTTCAATTCAAGAAAGTTCATCCAATCGGCATCTCAGCACACACCACGCCCCTGCCGCTCCATACAAGCCACTTTGCCCTTGGCCCCCCTTGGGTTGTTTAGACCCCATCAATTAGCCGTGCAAAAGGGGCTAAACAGTTTGTACAGATAATTATATTTATTAGATATTATAGTATAAAGCTAATTAGCCAATTATTTTGTTATTTTTTTTAATACTTTTCAATTTAGACTCGTTTCGGGAACGTTCGTCTCAAAGTTAAATTGCGTAGCGCTTAACCGCTTGTCAAAACTATCACAAATATGATAACGCCACGTTAAATTGACGAGTTGGCAGAAGGGCTCGTGAAATCAAAAAAAATAAATGCATGTCAATTGCAATGTTTGCTGCCTGGTGTTGCCATATGCGCAATGTTTCGCTAGCTGGCAACGCCACAATTAGGTATGCCTGTTAAAAACCTTACAGATCGGAGGCTGAATTTTAACTCTATGTAGATTTTCACAAGAGATCAAAGAACATGTGATTTTTGACAGGAACCTGCTTCAACATGCTATTAGAACTTGGGAGATTTAGTTCGAGTTGATATAAGAAATAAGAATTGAATATGTTAAAGTGGTTGTTAACTTTAACACGAACCTTTGAAAGGGTACACAGAACTACGAAAAGCTATCAGTTAAAGCTTCTATAACGTCACGTTAAAGTGGTTGTTAACTTTAAGACGAGCCTGATGACAGCAAATTTAATATGCTAGTCACAGAATATACAGGGTATCGGCAAAACATCAAAAAAATTCAATTACATTTGACTACCAGTTAAATAGTTCGTTTCTTTTACAGACGCAGCTAAGAAAAGAACTGAGTAACTTTATGTAAGATTTAATTATCCAAGGTAGACATATACGCCACAGCAGAATACAGGGTATACTTAGAACGTGATTACCTAACAGCCAGTCAGATTTTGACATGAACCTGACTTCAGGAATTCTAATGCTCTTGGCTAATTCGTGGATTGTGTTGAGGAGCTTACTGCAATTGCTTGCCATCACCTACAGGGTATCTCTGGGTCGAGCACACTCCAAAATTGTTCGTGTTTGTTTATAATTTTTGGGCTGTTGTAATTTAAATTTTGAGCTCGTGCAGCCGCGCACACGGAATCGTTATCGTGTTCAGCTCAACGTTTATATATGTACATGTATGTTTTTATTGCTCGATGCACTTGCCGAACGTCTGATCTAATTTTAATTAATTAAACCGAAACCGAAGTCGAGCAGCGGCTTGCGGCCCCGCCCCAGCCCCACCCCCCTTGCTGTGCCTTTTCTTTTCATTTCTTCTGTTTTTCTTTTTTATTGGGTGTGGTCTGCATTTTGTCGAAACTTGAGGTTGTAATAACAGCTGCCGCACCGCCCCCCCCCCTTTTTTTTTTTTGGCTTTTAATTTTTGTTTACTGGAATGCATTGAAAACTGTGGGTGACGGCGGGCAGAGGTGGGTAAACACCCTGGCGGAGTCTTGGGCATATATGTATGTATATCGATCGCAGCGCGTGCTAATTGTTATGCACAGCAAGTGGCCAAAAGTTGAAGCTGCAGTTCGCCCGGCTCGAGGGTGGCCATTTAATTGAATTAGGTGGCAACGCCGGCAGGAAAAAGTGCCTCCGAAAATGGGTTGACAACGCGACGATCGTCAAAAGTCGCGTGTTAAATCATTCAGTTTATGTTGCCGGGCAGCTGTTTCTTTCTTTCTTTCTTTCTTTCTTTCTTTCTTTCTTTCTTTCTTTCTTTCTTTTTTCTTCCTTTTTTCTTTTCTTTTTTATTGTGTACCCATATCTGTACTTGAGTGTATTTGTATAGGAATGCCAGGTACACGGCAAGAAATAAAGTTGCTTTCGACATTTCATTCAGTTTCGATCAAATTGAAAAAAAATTGGTATTATAATTTCCTGCTCTTCGTTCTTTCTTTTTGGATTGAGATTAACGACAAAATTGATTTTAAGTACGTTCCTCTTTTTCGCTCGCTAATTAACATTTAGTCAAAAACCAACTAGCACTTCATCTTCATCTCATGCAATTTTGATTTCTTATGAAAAATGGATTGATAAAAAGTAAATATATTTTTCAACCAAATTGTTTTCAGCCTGTAAACAATTGCTATGTGCAGAGCTAGAATTAACAATAGTATTATTTGTAATATAAGATGAATGTATTATAGCTAATTTTTATAATAATAATCTATATATATTCATTTATAGATTTCCACCCAAAAGTTTTGTACTGTGTATAGTCGTTGTCAGTCGACTGTCATTTGCCTCGACTCTTCCGTCTGAAGTCTGTGTTTTCTGTGGGGATATTCCAAATTTCCAACTTCCACACAGACACACATTTTTTCTTCCTAGACTGGAGCAGGTCCGTGTGTGTGTGTGTGTGTGTGTGTGTGTGTGTGTGTGTGTGTGTGTGTGTGTGTGTGTGTGTGTGTGTGTGTGTGTGTGTGTGTGTGTGTGTGTGTGTGTGTGTGTGTGTGTGTGTGTGTGTGTGTGTGTGTGTGTGTGTGTGTGGCATGCAACCATCCGGCGGCACTTGATGAAGTGCCTTTTTAAAAATAGCCCACCATTTAGCGGCAAATTATTTCTGCTGTCGGGCAGCGAGTGCTGTGTAAAGTCATGTAAACTAAAGAATCAGGGTTCCCTCTTCTTCTTCTCCTCCTCCTCCTCCTTCCCTCCCCTCCCCTCCCCTTTTCTTTTCTACTTTTTTTGTTGGCTCTTTTTCCCTTCTAGAGAGACACGCTCTCTGCGAGCTGCCACTGAACTGATGAGTGCGTCACAAAAAGCCGAAATATGCAAAGTTTTTCTCCAACTTTTCGTTTTTTTCTTTCCTATTTGCCTCTCCAGTGGAATGATTTTCACACTTATCGTAACTATTTCCGGGTGGAGTTTCGCACACGAAGCCCCTTCGCTGGCGGCCACTGAGGCTGGCACGTTGTCAGTCTACGTGAGTTGTGGGCAGTAGAGATGGCAAAGTCTCAGCATACGATGTACGGATCTCTACTATCAGTTGGCATTCGATTGAATCAAAAGTCGAGGGACAATATCGAAGATTTTGAAAATAAACGGTTCGGGAATGATGCCAACCTTTTTTGATGATTTTTTTGGTTGCTCTCAGCCAAATATTGTCCGAAAAATGAAAATGAAAGATATATGATTTGTTTAGACTCTTCTAGAAGCTACATAGAAGCTCAATAAACGGGATTTCGATATCGATTCTTATCGATTGGTTGGAAACGGGGCCAGTTATCGATAATCGGAAAGAAACGTGTACTGCTCCAGGCACTAGGAGAACCTGCGTTCAAGTCTATTTCAAGTCTCTAGCTCCTATAGACGGACGGACAGACAGACGGACATGGCTAGATCGACTCGGCTTTACTTTACGGGTTCGGCGATGCTTCCTTCTGCCTGTTACATACATTTGCACAAAACCAATATACCCTCTTTACCCATTTTTTAACGGGTTCAGGGTATGAATATGTATTCGACGGGTTTTTCTTCCCAAAATAATATTCTGTCAGAGGCAACCAAATTTGGAGTTTTGTTTGACCCAATGCGTTTCTTGCCCAACTCACCCTTTTTACACCTATTGCTCTCATTCGGCTCGCGAAGCAGATTTGGACTGAATTCGTAAGGTTTTCGCTTAATTAGCTGCAAATTGGGCCTACATAAATGGCCAACAGCGGCAGCTAATTGGCCAATTGCGTTGCGACAAGCCGCCAAGTCGCCAGCGGGCACACGTGTATGTCGAAGCTGGGGCTCAGGCTGGGGTGTCAGAGCCGCAGTCTGCTTAATATATATATATATATATATATATATATATATATATATATTGGTTATATAATTGCAAGCGTGGCGCGGCTATCGACTGATTGATCAAAGATACGAATATGTATATATAAATATATACATATATAGTATGTATAGTAGCTCTGGCTAATGATTGGCTATAAAACGATTTTGCACTAGCCGCAACAGCAACAACCTCTGCATTAATTAATGTTAATTGCGACGGCCTGTTACAGCAGCTTAAAGGCAACAGAGCATGCCACACTAGACGATGCCCTGTAAATGGGTCAAAAGTTGTAAAGATTTTCAAATGACATCGCTTATGATAATAAGCTATGGAAAATAAACTTTATTATGATATGATAAAATGTGCATATGTGTTCGGTATATATAGACTGATTTATAAGATTGAGATCTCGAGGTTGCTATATAGAGTCAATATACAACATTTTAGATGTAGCTCTTACAAACTCCGAGTTCAATAGGTTTAGAAAGGAGGTCGGCCAAAACGACTCGACTATGGATGCTGACGAATAGAATATTCTCATATATACCTATACGGGCTTATTGTGATTTGCTTGGGATTAAGGTCTGTCTATGCACTTGTTTTATAGAGTCTACATACCAAACTTTAAAGCTGTAGCCCATACAAACTCCGATTTTAATGGGTATAGAAAGGAAGTTGGCCAAAAATATGGAAAGGAATATGCAAGACGGGATGCTGAAATTTCTGGCACTTGGAAATCGTTAACAATTATCATCACCGACTGTGGCAAGTTTATAAATACAGGGTATATAGCTTAAAATAACTGGGCCAAGTCAAAAAGAAAACTAAACGTTGAACAATTTTGTTGTTTGCAGAGCAGCTCAGGTGGTTCGAGTGAGAGGTGGTGGGGGGGGGGGGGGGGGTAGCCGAGCTGTCAGGTTGGCTTTTAGTCGCACAAATTCAATTGCAAATTATTCACATACTCGCATTCAGTTTTGGCCGGGCTGCTCAATACCAGCGCCAATTTGTTTATTGAATACCGAATATGAATAAAAAACTACACACGAAAAATAAGTGAATTAATATAAGAGAAAAAGACGAAGACGAAGAAGAAGCAGAAAAGAAATAAAAGCAAAATAAATAAAACTTGGTGCTCACCTAACTGGTTTCGGCGGCTGCCATATAAATAATTAGCAAAAACCAACAACGCTTTATAAATCAGACACAGACAGCACAAGCGACCGGCCCCACTGCACCGCCCCCTCCCCCTCCCCCTCCCTCTCCATCTCGTCTGCCCCTCTTTGCCGGCTACCACCCCACACCGTGTGATCACCTGCGACAACCCACATGGCGCACCTGCCTGTGCTGCCTGCGCCTACAACTAATGCAATCGACCCTGTCTTTTGCCTAGCCTGGCGAAGGGTATTCAGCTTTAGCCACAAACGAAGGCTCCAGAAGCTGCCATCTAAGCCGTCTATTCGAAATGTTCTATGCGAACTCAGCTCGCTGTGCAGCTATTTTGCTGAAACTTGTTGCAGCTGCTTCGTTTTATATAAATCGAAACTGAGCGAATCGCTTCAACTCAACCTAACTTTTCCAAGTTTGCAAGGTGCTGCAAAAGTTGTTGATTTCTTTGATTTAATTTTGTTTTGCTTCGATTTTTTTTGCCAGCTCAACGCAAAAAATGTACGTTTGTGCTTTTAATTTGAGCTGCGTTTTTTATTTTATCATTTTTTTTTTTGTATTGGAGGGGGCCAGGCGAGCTGATGGGGGGAGGGAGGGGGGGGGGGGGAGAGGGGGCGGTGTTATGTATATACTTGATGTGTTGGTGTTTAAAAAATGTTTTGTTTAGTTTTGTAATTATTACACATTATTTAAGTAGCGCCGCATGTTAAGGAAACTGACGCGTCATGGAAATATTTCAAGACTCTCCGCCAAGCCGAGCACACCAGCAGATAATGCTCATCGAGATTATATATGTATGTATGTATGCTGCTGATCAGCAAGATCATGATCAGTGCCCGACATTGGGTTCTTTTCGAAATACTAAGTAGAATTGTGCCAATCGCGGGGGTTCATTTGACGCTTGGTTCACGACCTCGTCTTTCGGTTTTAGTTTAGCTACAAAAAACGAGTGAGAAAAAAACTAATTGCAGCTGCAATTGCCCCAGCTCCAGCTGGCAACTGGGCAACTGGGCAACGACGGGGCGACGATTGCATTTGTAATGAGCGGACAAGGTCGACGCTTCATTAATGCGAATCGAGTGCCAAGTGCGGTCTGACACAAGCGGCTGCCCGACACAAAGCTGCCTGCTATGCGCAGTCGCACAACTTTCCCATGGCGCCCAAAACAACAAAAAAAGACAACAACAAAATATAAAAATATTCAAAAAAAAATAAATATCCAAAAAGCGAAAAAAAAAACAATATCATAAACGAAAAGTGAAAGGCAGCAGCAACAACAACAGATCAGATAAGTGCGCAATGTCAATTGCAAGTGCTTTATAAATAGCCCCAAATAGACGCCCCCACACACACAAACACACACACACACACACACACACCTAGTTATATCTCTCAATATCTGAACACTCGACTCGCATGTGTCAAATGGCAGCAAATGCCTTTGCCATAAGCCCAAAGCGCACAGTTACACGAAATATGAATTTAATGCGCATACTTTCCTTTTACACACACACATATACATCTATATACATATGTATATACATATATACATCCATATATGTATGTATATGCATATATCATAATAATATAATCCCCAAATAGTCGCAAATCTTGTGTGTTTTCGCATGCCAATGCGAGTCAATAAACAAATTGTCCACATTTAGCATATATGCTATGCGATAGCCTATACGCACCTAATGTTCAGGTAGTATATAAATAGGGCGTAAATATTGTAAATAGCATTGCCATTGGCCATAATATTATCTAGACTGAGTTTATTTTCTTTGCATAAACACAAGCGCATTTTGCTTAGCTCACGTTGCGATCCCATTGACATGAATAGATTTGAAGATCCGGCTTTCTACCTACAGTATTTTGTTGATTTCAGTGCATAACTGTATATACATACGCAATATCATACATCATAATATCATGCGTACATACAATTGCTAGGGGGTAACTCTATCTATGTCTGCCATTTGTTTTATTATCTCTTCATTGAACGGCAACCTTAAAGGTTTATTGTCCTCACTTTACACTTTGCTGTAACATCGTGCCAATTCTTTGCGTTTGCATCCTCTCTCTCTCTCTTCTTCTTAATTTCGGTATAGGCCTTTGATTTTGCATTTCTGGAGCTGCGTTCTCTTTATGTTCCTTCAGTTAATCTTTTTTTATACTCACCACCAAGCTTTCCCTTATTGCTCATACTTGCTAACTTAATTTCGGTTTCTCCCTTGCAAACCATAATATCTCTCTCTATCACACACTCATTCCCTCTCTCTCTCTTTCTATCTCCCTCTCATTTTATTCTTGTCTGCCATTCTTTCTATCTTGTTCGAATCTTTCTTTCATAGCCTCTCGAACTATTTGTTCTCTCTTTCTCACGAGCAGTTTCAGTATTTTTTCTCCTGCTGCTCTTCCTTTTCTCTCACTCGCAGCTGCTACTCTCTTTTTTTTTTTTTTCTCATTTACTTTTAAACTACCGTGAGATCGTTTTTTCATTCAATTCCTTTTTATGCAGCATCCGCAATCGTTTTACTGGTACAGTCTTCAGAGGTTCCACGTTATGTGCCTATAGCTCTTTTCGTTTCTTCTTTGTGCGATATCCTTCAACGGTCTACAGGCACATTGAACTCGAATATATGACGACGCCAGTTACTGGCAGCTGTCTCTGCCTGTGACTCTGCAGCTAGATCAATTAATTTGTCAATGCTTCGCGGTGCGACATCCCGCAACGTTTTAGCCAATACACAACTTAATGTAGCTGTAGCAGAAGGCAGCTGTTTAATATGCCTCTTAACTGATTACTCACTCACAACAGGCTACTCTCATAGTCAATTATAGAGTAATATACTCCATTTAGTACGTTTCTGGTTAGTCAAATAAATTGTAATGCCACAAATTGCTCATCTAATGGCCGATTTAAAGTGGAATGTCAATTTGAGAGAAGGCCTCAACAAAATAAAAACCACCCACAATCGAATCGGAAATTGAACAAAATCAACTTCCGTATTAACCTATTGTTCGCATGTCACATGCAAAAATAACAACGAAAACAACTCCAGTCATATATCATATTCATATTCAAAGTTGGAAAAATCAATTGCGATTTCCATTGTAATTTTCCGCTTTGCTGCTGCTGTACTGTACTTTCAGCTTGAGAAATGAATTCATTCAAAATTCGAGGTAATATATGTATATTTATTTAATGAGAATCGCACAATCTAAACGCTTTCTGTTTCTCTTTACGTTAAATCACGTGCTTGTGATCTTCAGTTTTATTTTATTTTCGTTTTATTTGTGGAGTTCGTGATCAGCGTCATCAATGGATCCGCGTATTGTTGGATCCGTTGTTTTTTTATGCACTAAATTATCGAGTCAGGTTCAAGAAATTAGCTAATCATCGATTCATTAACAATTCAAATTGTAAATGGAATAAATGTAGAGTTTTATTCTAAACAAACTGCGTGCTATTATTGCAATTGTGATCAAAAATATAGATCACGCATTTCAACTGGTTTTTCTCCCCCGCTAACTGGATGTTGGCATCAAAAATTGTCGATTCAACATTGTAAATTATAATGCGATTTGCTTTTTAATATATACACATATGAATACGATATTATTATGTGGGCAAGGCCATAGATATTAGCTGACAGCTAGTTGAGCATCTTTCCATTTAATATTCTATTGTATACCCATTAAATTGTGCTTGCGGGTTCGTTCAGACACAAATCAAATTGGTTTGCAAATAAACCTTAAATCAATTTCATTTTCTGCATGCAAATATTATATCAACTGATTCTCAACAATCTACGTAATGTAAATACCTTATAAACTTACCTATGAGTTTGAGTCCAAAAGAAATTCCATTTTTAAATCCAATCCTGACTCTCTTTAAACTAGATCTCCTATGAATGCCTTTTGATCATTTTATAATCCTTATCATAGACTCTTACTCATCTGCGCAGTTCAGTGAGAAAATATTGTTCAAAGGTTTTTCAAAATCCTCTTCCTAAAAAAATTAAAAAGAAAATATACAGTAGTACTTTGTTAGCTTTGTTATTCAATATGTATAAGGGCGATCGAAAGTATATATGCTTGATAAAGATCAACAGAGATTACGCTCCATCTCCTTTGCCCCATCCAACGTCCCATCAACAAATCTCGAGAACTTTATCAGCCAGAGTCAAGAAATTTGGTATGTGATTTCTTCTTTACTAAATCCAGCTGAATTTTATTACTTTTTGTATTGTAACAAACCCAATCAAGAGATCGCAAGAACTTTAAGAGCTAGAACCATACAATTTTGTACGTAGTTTCTTGCATACCCAATGCAGATTTATTTTACATAAGTTTGTTGTATCCCGACTTGAAAGTGAACTAACACCTGACCTGTCTAAATGACAGCTGACACCTAAGCATTTTATACCCTTCTCTCTGTATATATACATATATATTTTTTGATCCATATCAACAGCTGTGGCCCTGTCTGTCTGTCCATGTAAACTAATCGGCCAGCCTTGAAGCTATATGGATGAGACATTACAGATGTCGTATCGGATCGTTATATCATATAGCTGCTATTGGAACTATCGGCTACATGTGTTGGCGACATTTTGTTTATAGATATCTTGTTTGAAGATATCTTTCGCAAGCTTGGCAAATTAGAGCCTTACTTTGCCACTGACAATATTGTATCCATGTCGAGCTGCTGTATCATATAGCCTTATAGGAGCACACATTGAAGTGTATTAAATACTCGACTGGGTAAAGTTAGTTAGGGTGTGCTTATGCAACTGGTGAATGCATTTGACACAGTTGAGTTGAGTCATTTGACAGTTCGAACATTTCAGAGTCATTATCAAAATCATATGTGTATAAGTATAAACAGATTCACGTAAAACCTTAATGAGCACGAGATGCAAGCTGAACTATGAGAGGGAGACTGAGACGGGACAGAGAGTGGCGAGAGAGGGGAGGGGCAGCAAGTTATAGCCCTGACATTGTGACTCAACTTGTGTTTTTGGCAACAATAACAAGTGCCTGGCCTGGTGTGTGTGTGTGTGTGTGTGTGTGCGTGTGTAGCTTATCGCTATGATTAATGGGTTGGGAAACAGCGAGCAGCAACAGCAGATTAAAAATTTCCAAATATAGGTCAGTTACGCCCGGGCACGGCCGAGGGCTGAAAGAAAGAGCTATTTGTGAGACCAGGGAACTGGATCTATGACCAATCAATCAAACAAGGTTGCGATTCCATTTCGCAATATTTCACTTATTGAATTCCACAAAAAATGACGGAAATAAACGTTAAAGTAAGGATATCTTCGGCACGCCGAACAATTAATACCCTTGTAGACATTTGCCTTACGGTTTTGCAGATGCTGAAGAGAGAATGGTGAAGCTCTTAAATCCTGAGTTTGACGAAAATTTCTTTGAAACTGATTTTTGATCGATTCTTGATGCTGATCCAGAATTTATATACTTTATGGGATCGGAGATGTCTCCTCTTATGTAAACACTTCACGATCAAATCATATAACACTCTACAAAATTATATTAAAATCTCACTTTTAAAGCCAGAGCCTTGTTTAAACATCTCAACTATGTGATCGGACTATAAGCATCGAAGATAGTCAAGAAGGCAGAAGAAATTGGGGTGGGGCTAGGGGAAACAAGGGCAGCTTGTCGCAGGGTTCGAGTCAGGTACTTCCGACTAGAGAACTCTACAGCCTGTCAAATGCACAGACTCTTCAACTTTTTTAACACAAACTTCTCTCTCTCTCTCTCTCTCTCTCTCTCTCACTCTCTCTCTCTCTCTCTCTCTATTTGACAGGTGGCCAATGGCGCCGATTTGGTCATCAGTGTGCCGAATGCGAGCAGCAATGACAATGCCTTTTATCGGATCGACTACAGTCCGCCATTTGGTTATCCGGAACCGAATACGACAATACCGGCTAGTGAGATAGGACAGGATATTAAATTATCTCGAGTGCTGCCCGGCAGCGAGTACAATTTCTGGTTGTACTACACAAATTCGACGCATCGCGAGCTGCTCACCTGGACGGTGAACATAACCACAGGTGAGTTTTGAGCTCGGATCGTAAAAACGAAGGTTCAACTATTTAATAACAACTTGCAATTATTAAACGTAGCACCCGATCCGCCGGACAATCTCAGCGTGCAGCTGCGGTCCAGCAAGAGCGCATTCATCACCTGGAAACCGCCCAGTACGGGCAAATATTCGGGGTTCAAGATCAAAGTCTTGGGCCTGACGGAGCCGCCGCACAGCGAATATAATCGCAGCTTCATGCTGGCCGGCAATGACACCCTGCAGCTGTCCGCCAAGGAGCTAACTCCGGGCGGCACCTATCAGGTGCAGGCATATACCATCTACCAGGGCAAGGAGTCGGTCGCCTATACGAGTCGCAATTTCACCACAAGTAAGTCCCGGCCCGCGGGCACACGCACTTCCAGCGGTCGCTGCAATTACTAAAAAACACACACAGAAATAGTTGTACAACAAAATTAACTTTAATCCCTAATCCCTTTGCCTTTGTATCTAATTGGTTGTGGTGCTAAGTAACACTTTCTCCTAACAACTCTTTCTCCTCCAATTCTCCACTCTCTCTCCAACTCTTTCTCTCACTCTCTGTTGCTTACTGTCCCTCAATGTGTCGCAGCATTGAGCAATGGATGTGCGCGAAGGTAACCTTAAGTAACTTCTCAATTTGTTGTCTTCTTCTCGCTTGTCGCTTTATTGCTAATAAATACGTATACGACTATTTGAATGCTATTTAAGTAATCCCCACGCTGGCACAGTGCTATCCAAGTTCGCGATCAACCAAGTATTAAACCCATTTTTAATTGTTTTGTTATATGTAAATGCCCGTCAGTTTAAAGCTAGATGCACATATCCCCTTGACATTCCAGCTTATTTCATGATAATCCCTGTTGTCAGTCAAACTCCACTTCTAGCTTGTTTAGGATATTATGATTTTGTCATAGAAGGTGACATCTCCGACACCATAAAGTATATTTGTATTCTTGATGAACAACATAAAGCTAATCGAATCGAAGTCTATGTTGCTTACTTAATCCCATAAAGATTGTTCTCCGGCAGATTGTCTGTCTAGCTATCTTCAGAGCCTGCCTCTTTCACAAGCGTAAAACTTACGAATTACAAGCGCCACAAGCGTAAAACTTGGTTCATCCGACTTGGGTAACACTGCGCCTCAGCGTGTTGCGTCTTTATTATGCTGTCTGTATTAAGTGTAAGCCACACACACACATCTGCACACACCTATACGCACACCGTATCCAACTCCGTACCGTTAGCTGTCCATTGTAGTAAAACATTCTTGTAACCCCTCCCAAAAAACAAAAACAAAAAAAAAACAATCCATATCCCATCCAGAGCCCAATACGCCCGGCAAGTTCATCGTTTGGTTCCGGAACGAGACGACGCTCCTGGTGCTGTGGCAGCCGCCGTATCCGGCGGGTCTTTACACCCACTACAAGGTGTCCATAACGCCGGACGATGCCATCGAGAGTGTGCTGTATGTGGAGCGCGAGGGCGAGCCGCCCGGACCCGCCCAGGCCGCGTTCAAGGGCCTCGTGCCCGGCCGTGCCTATAACATATCGGTGCAGACCGTCTCCGAGAATGAGACATCGGTGCCGACAACTGCTCGCTACCTGACCGTGCCGGAGCGCCCGCTGAACGTCAGCTTCGATCCGCGCTACACGACAACCAGCTCGTTCCGGGTGCGCTGGGAGCCGCCGCGCACCTACAGCGAGTACGACAGCTTTCAGATCTCCATATCGACGACACGGCGAGTGTTCACTGTGCCGCGCACCGAGGCGAGCAGCGTATACTTTGACTATCCCAAGATTCTGGAGCCCGGCAAAAGCTACGATGTGGTGGTCAAGACCATATCGGATAATGTCAACTCCTGGCCGGCGAGCGCAGAGATAACGCTGCGTCCACGTCCGGTGAGAAGCTTGCGTGGCTATCTCGACGATCGCAGCAATACGGTGCACCTGTCCTGGGAGCCAGCCGAGACGGGCAAACAGGATAGCTATCGCATAAGGTGAGTGTGAACAGGATGCAGCGCCTCGATCCATCAAGACTTATGCAACTTCCTGCTTTCAGCTACTACGAGAAGCTCAATGATACGGACGCGGCCTCGACGACGTCTCAGACGCTGGAGACGCCGCTAACGGAGTACCAACTGGCGCAGCTGCTGCCAGGCAGACGTTACCACATCGAGGTCCAAGCCCTGTCCAATGGCATCAGCTCCAATGCGAGCAGCCTGACGCGCGACACCCGGCCCGCCGCGCCCATCATCCAGGAGCTGCGCAGCATAGCGCAGGGCCTGAACATCAGTTGGCGCAGCGATGTCAACTCGCAGCAGGATCGCTACGAGGTGCACTACCAGCGCAACGGCACCAACGAGGAGCGCACCATCAGCACCAACCGCACCAATTTGGTCATCAAGTATCTGCATCCCGGCTCCGGCTACGAGATCAAGGTCTATGCGATCAGTCACGATATGCGCAGCGAGCCGCATGCCTACTTTCAGGCAGTCTGTAAGTGTGGACACAACTCTATCAAATGGGCGTGATTCATTTGCTGAACGAATCTGCGACTCATTCAGTTGGCTGGCTGAATGCAACATTTAGTCACATTCATACAAGTGCATTCCAAAAGAATTCAATGAATTGAATTAGAACTTTGCAAAGTTGAAATTTATTTGAAAGGCGAATGCGTTTAATATACAGGAATTGATTGCATTGCAATTTGAATTTAATACTCAAAGAAGAATATATTCACTCGATTTGAGAATAGCGAATTATTTGTTTGCACTCAATATTAAAAATGAATTAAAATAAAATAATAGTAAATTTTGAATCGAATCGAATTACAAGAACTCAATCAAAACCCAATTAAATAATCAATATGAAAATGAATTCAATTATAATTATGATCAATTTTCGAATTGAGTCGGAATTCAAATGAATTTTGCGAGAACTCGTTAGCTCGACTAATCAAATTGAATCAGTTTGTTGAGTGCATTCAATATGAAAACTGAATAAAATTATAATTCTAGTTAACTTTTGAATTGAATCGAAGTTTGAATGCATTTTTTGCAAGAATTCATTCGCTCGACTAATCTAATTGAGGTGAATATTTGTTTGCATCGTATATGAAATATGAATTGAATTAGCTTTGGAATTAATTTTTAAAAGATTTACAATGTTTAAACTTAAAACTTTAACAAAAGAAAAAGAAATTAATTCAAATTGTATTAAGACCGAAAGAATTGGTGAAAATATAGGTTTTTTTCAGATATCTTGACCAAATTCCTCACATATCTGCTGAAACGTATAAATTCGGTCTATCTATTATACAGTTCCTATAGCAAGAGAATTAATTCTTTGGAATTCCAAAGATAACTATTTTCTACAAAAAAGATTTAAACTAAGCAATAGCTTAACAACATTGTACTCTATATCAAATAGCTCTGCCTTCAATTCAATCTTCGTGGTATTCATTCAATCCTCATTCCTTCATTCCCTCCATTAATTAGTTTCAGTCAAATGAAGAGCAGTTCAGGCCAATTCACAGTGTGACTGAAAGTGAATGACACTCATTTACGGCGCTTCCTTTTATTGTTAGCCCATCTTATTTCTGATCTTTCTGCTCTTCCCAGTTCCCAAGCCGCCTCGCAATCTCACCCAGCGCACGGTGAACACAAATCTGGTGCTGCTCAACTGGGTGCCGCCGGAGGGCAGCGATTACAGTGAGTACGCGGTGCGCTATCGGACCGCAGCCTCCACGTGGCAGCGTTTGCCCAACGTGCACGAGCCGCAGGCACGAATCGAGGACATGCACTACGGGGAGCGCTATCTGGTGCAGGTGAACACGATGAGCTTTGGCGTGGAGAGTCCCGCGCCGCTGGAGCTGAACATCACGATGCCGCCGCAGCCCGTGTCGAATGTGGTGCCGCTGGTGGATTCGCGTAATCTGACGCTCGAATGGCCGCGCGCAGACGGCCATGTCGACTACTATACGATCAAATGGTGGGCCACGGACGAGCCGCAGCTGGTGGAGTACAAGAACGTGACCCAGCTGAGCGAGCAGGAGCGTGAGTATTGCCATTCAAATAATAACCGAATAAAACCCTAGTAAAACCCAACTCCTCTGCCCGTACGCACAGTCAGCTCGAGCAGCGTGCGCATACCCATTGAGGATTTGGCGCCGGGTCGGCAGTACAAGTTCGAAGTGCAGGCCAGCTCCAATGGCATACGCTCGGGCACAACGCATCTGTCGACGCGAACTATGCCGCTCATTCAATCGGATGTGTTCATATCGAATGCCCACGAGCAGCAGCAACAGCAGGAGAAGGGGCAGGATCTGCAGCCGGAGGAGGAGGCTGAGTCCAGCGATAGCATCACGTTGAACTACACGCCCACGCCCGCGTCGAGCACACGCTTCGACATCTATCGCTTCTCTCTGGGCGATCCTTTGATCAAGGACAAGGAAAAGTTGGCCAATGATACGGAACGTAAGCTCAGCTTTACGGGCCTCACGCCCGGTCGCCTCTACAATATAACCGTTTGGACTGTCAGCGGGGGCGTGGCCAGCCTGCCCATACAGCGTCTCTATCGCCTGCATCCGCTGCCCATTGCCGATCTGCAGGCCACACAGCTGGACGCCAGAGAGATTACGCTGCGCTGGACGGCGCCCGCCGGCGAATACACAGACTTTGAGCTGCAGTATCTGAGCGCGGATGCGGACGCGCCGCAGCTACTGCAGAATCTTACGACACAGACACAGTTGACGCTGCAGCGACTGCAGCCATATCACAATTACACCTTCACCGTTTCGGTGCGTGCCGGCAGCGAGCTGGGCAGCGCCATGATGCGCACGAGTGCGCCAATCTCGGCCAGCTATCAGACGCTGCCGGCGCCGCCGGGCCGTGTCGAGTACTTCCAGCCCAGCGATGTGCAGCCGGGCGAAATCAGCTTCGAGTGGCTGCTGGCCGTGCAGGAGCAGCACGGACCGATTGCCCACTATCGCATCAGCTGCCAGAATGTGGACGACGCCTCCGATGCGAGCAGCTATGAGCTGCCCGCCAATGCGACCCAGGCGCGCATCGAGAACCTGGTGCCGGGCAACAGCTACATCTTTCGCATTCAGGCCAAATCGGCGCTGGGCTACGGCTACGGCGTCGAGCGTGAGCATCGCCAGCTGATGCCCATACTGGCACCACCGGCGCCAGCGGCCCACATCATGCCCGTCGAGATGGGGCACAGCAGCACGACCATACAGATACGCTACCGTCAGAGCTATTTCTCGAATGCGCACGGCCTGGTGCGCTGGTATACGATCATTGTGGCCGAGGATGTCGGCAAGAATGCCTCCGGCCTGGAGATGCCCAGCTGGCAGGACGTGCAGTCGTATACCGTCTGGCTGCCCTATCAGGCCATTGAGCCGTACAACCCGTTCGCCAATGTCAGCCTGAGAAGTGCGGGCTTTGAGGATTTCACCATTGGCAGCGCCGGCTGCGAGAAGCATCGCACCGGCTACTGCAATGGTCCACTCAAATCGGCGACCACATATCGCATCAAGGTGCGCGCCTTTACCGACGAGGATAAGTTCACGGATACGGTGTACAGTGAACCGATTACCACGGATCGCGACGATGTCCTCTGGCTGGCCAGCACCCTGGCCATTGCCGTCTTCGTGCTGTGCCTGTTGACGGCATTGGGCTACTATCGGTATCGCTGCCATAGCATGCGGCGCACCGCCAACAAGCTGGCCCGCATGCCCGACGAGCTGACGGCCCTGCCCGAGGGCTATATAGCGCCAAATCGGCCCATTCATGTCAAGGACTTTGCGGAACACTATCGCCTCATGTCCGCCGATTCGGACTTTCGCTTTAGCGAGGAGTTTGAGGAGCTGAAGCATGTGGGCCGGGATCAGGCATGCAGCTTTGCCGATTTACCCTGCAATCGGCCCAAGAATCGTTTCACCAACATTTTGCCATACGATCATTCGCGATTTAAGCTTCAACCCGTCGACGATGATGACGGCTCCGATTATATAAATGCCAATTATATGCCGGGCCATAATTCGCCGCGCGAGTTCATCGTCACGCAGGGACCGCTGCATTCCACGCGGGAGGAGTTCTGGCGCATGTGCTGGGAGAGCAACTCCCGGGCGATTGTCATGCTGACGCGCTGCTTTGAGAAGGGGCGCGAGAAGTGCGATCAGTACTGGCCCATCGATCGTGTGCCCATCTTCTATGGGGATATTAAAGTGCAGCTCATTACCGATACGCACTTCCTCGACTGGTCCATAGCCGAGTTTATGGTCTCCAGGGTAAGTGGCAGGAAGAAGCGTTCAGATGCAAGAAGTAATACGATTTCATTATCGCTGAATATTTAATTTTAAACTGTTTTTGTTGGTTGAAAGTTTCGTGTAAACAAAAGGAAGTTTTGTGAAGCGAGAAGCGTTTAGAGAAGCGATAAATTGTGAGAAACCCGAATGAAGAAAGAAGCCATTTAAGAAGCGATGTGAAGCGAGAAGAGTATAAAGAAGCGATAAAATGTGTGCAACCCCTGAATAAGCTGGATGAAGAAAGAAGCCATTTGAGAAGCGATGTGAGGCGAGAAAAGTTTAGATAAGCGACAAACAAAAAAATGCTTAAAGAAAAAACCGAAGGGAGTAGAACAGTGAGAAGCGGTGGAAGAAACGTTTTAAATAGACTAAAAGTCTCTTGTAAATGTTTTCATCCATCTTTTTTGTAGATTTTTGCTAGGCAGGTTTGTTACCTTCAAGATAAGTATCAGAGAGAAGCAATGTAATGCGAGAAGCTTTCAAAAACAATAAACTTCACTTACTATTAAAACTTTCCGTAAGCCAACAAGAAAATCCAAAGAGAATTGCCATGAAGCGAGAAGCCTAAAAAGATAAGACATAGCTATATAATATTTTTTGAAGAAAGCAAAGCAGGAAAACAGGCAATAAAAGTATTAATTAGATAAGTTATATAAAATGCAAGCCATGGCTTGTATTTCAGTTACTTCAAGCTAAGAAAGAAGTGCTGTGATAAGCGCATCAGACCAACAAAGCAAGTTAGCAGCTTGTTAAAAAGCTTGCTTCTCTCTTTGATTATAGCAAGAGTTTGTAAGTTAAAGCTAAGGGAGAAGCGAAGGCAGATTTGAGTCAAAGCGAGCTAAAAGCTTGTTCCAACTTGCCTAGGGACAGCGTCATCGTTTGCTTTTTTTCATAAAGCTTCTCGCTTGGCTTCTCTCTGCACTTTATTTCTGCTTCACTCTAAACGCTTCTCTCTTCGCTTCCATATAGAATTGCATCTAATTTTACTCACATCTTTTCCCCCACCCTATCTAGAATTGTGAATCGCGCATTATGCGGCACTTTCACTTTACCACCTGGCCGGACTTTGGTGTGCCGGAACCGCCGCAATCTCTGGTGCGATTTGTGCGCGCCTTCCGTGACGTCATCGGCACCGATATGCGACCCATTATCGTCCACTGCAGCGCCGGTGTGGGCAGATCGGGCACATTTATAGCACTGGATCGAATACTGCAGCACATCAACAAGTCTGACTATGTGGATATCTTTGGCATTGTGTTTGCCATGCGCAAGGGTATATATCTACCTGAATATGTATATATATAAAACTGAATGTCCGGACTGACTGACTGATTGTTGATCCACGGAAACAGGAAGAGCTTGTGTATTGTTAGTGTAAAGTCCGCCCGGAACTTCGCCTTTAAGCTCATGAATAAGCGTTAAAAGGTTTTTTTTAAAGTTTAACCCACGGTAGTAAAATTGGGCGGATAACTTTGACTGTAAATCTTTATGTCTCTTGTAGAGGGTACTATAATTTTGTCAAGAAACGTATAGCGCATAGTAAGAGACTTTATAAAGTAGATATATAATCTGAATGAGTATGAACTGCCTAGTTGATGGAGTCATCGTCCGTCTGGCCATGCAGACTTGTCTCTCAGTTCGCATAGTTCTGACTTTTTAAGTGTGATGTATTTGGCCGGATCGGACTACTATTATATACTATTATATAGCTTATCATAGTTTTGATCGGTCGAATATTAAGTTCTTGCTTGAACAACTTTATTTGTTTTGCAATGTAATTGCCAGCTGCACAATGCTATTCGCATGTCTGTAAAACCGAAAGCCAAATGTCTAGAAGAGTATTCCACATTCGGCATGCCGAAGAAAGCCATTTATTTTCCATCTGTCTATATTACAGATTATTTGGGGTTCACGCTATAGTACGGCTAGATTTAAGCACGAGTAATGCCCGCTAGTAGACACATCTTTGTATATATGTATATTTATTTTGAGCTTCTCTAATGCTTCTCGCTTTCCCCCTGACAGAGCGCGTCTTCATGGTGCAAACGGAGCAGCAATATGTGTGCATACATCAGTGCCTGCTGGCGGTGCTGGAGGGCAAGGAGCATCTGCTTGCCGATTCGCATGAGCTGCACGAGAACGATGGCTATGAGGGTAAGTTGAATCAAGGCAGTCTGTTTGCCACGCCCCAAAAAACGCCCCTCGCTGGCCGCCTTGCGCGTCAGACCACGTTCTACACTCTCCTTCAAAGTTGTCGTTTGGTTTGGTGAACGTCGCTGCGGCTGCTAATTTTAATCTCTAACTACCATTGACTAATGCTCTGTACTAAAGCTCCATGCTAAACTATATATGTGTATATATGTAGTATATATATATATATAGACAACAACAACAACAACAGCAAGAACACACACAACTTTTGGGTTTGCAGCTGTTTTTTTCATGTTTTCTTTTTTAATTTGTGACTAACCAAACAATTTGTTATAATTTAATGAATTTCTTCTTTCTCTTCACACAAACACACACACGCACACATTGTATATCAAACACACACACACACACACCTGTCTAACAACCCACACACACACACACACACACACACACACACTCACACACACACATATACACTGCTCTCAACTGCTGCCTTCACAAAATTGTTTGCAACTCACGAATTCAGTGACTAAAATTTACTTAGAGCGCCCCAAGCCACAGCCGTTGCAGGCCGCCGCCGCCGGCAGCAGCCCGTTGCATGCAACGCCGTTGCGTGCCTCACTGGCCCTCGCCGAGGAGCTGGACAGGGAGCTGGAACTGGAACTGGAGCAGCAGCAGCAGCTAGATGAAGATGATGAAGATGAAGATGATGATCAGCAGCCTTTGAACAATGAGACAACAGCTACTCTGTCCACGGCCAGCAGCAGCAGCAACAGCAGCAGCAACAGCAGCAGCAGCAGCTTAGGCAGCAAGAGTCAGCAACAACAACAACAACAACATTGTGTACAGCAGACAGCAACAGCAACAACAACAACAAACATTTGCACTAGCACTCAATCAGACACAGACACTGAGGATGAGGATGGTGATGGTATTGATAAGAGTCCGCTTTTAGGTTTGTACCATAAACAACAACAACAACAACAACAAAGTGCACCCCCCACCCAACCCCACACAGCAACAACAAAAATGGCTACAAGCGCATATATCCAACCCCTTTTTTTTGTAGTGTATTCAAAGTAGTTTGTCAAAAGAAAAAAGAAAAAAGAAAAAAGAAATCGCACAATATCTAACACTTGTTGTATATAAATGCACACACACACTTGCTAACTTGTTACTTGTAGTGTAGTGTAGTGTTATTAAAAAGCCTAACTAATACACACGCACACACAGACACAACACACACGCTAACAACTAACGCCTGGGCATGTTAAAAAATATATATATATTTATATTTTTTGTGTAGCATAAATTTGATAAAAAATATAGAAATTTTATTTAAATACTGTGTAAATGAAATATATTAAAAATGTATATTTAAATTTATTTTCACACAGATGACGAAGGCATTGCCGAAACAGGCATTTGAGAGAGAGAGAGAGAGAGAGAGAGTGATAGCAAGCGAGAGAAAGAGAGAGAGCCAGTCAAAACCAGAGAGAGTGAGCTGAAGATATATGAAGACTTGCTGCGGATATTTATGCATATATATATATTTATATATACATATATACAAAATACATAATTATAAGCCTAGCATAAGCACATATATATATTATATATACACACGTCGTATATATATATAGCTATATACATAGTTAATATAACAAACAAAACAAAAAAACAAAAACACGAAAAATATTCTGCCTGTGATGTGCTGGATGTGATTTGTCTAGAATTTTGGCAGAAGCGTTAACAAACCCGCAACAACAACAGGAGCCTGCAGAGTCGAGGCTGCGCTACAGAAAGAGAGCGAGAGAAAGAGAGAGAGACAGAGAGAGAGAGAGAGTTTCTCCTCGTTTGCCATACGCGCCTCCAGCCAAGTTAATGCCGCCAATTAGACCAAAACAACAGAGCGTTTAATCTTAAGTATCAGGTATAATTAGCTATTCTTTTATACTTAAAAAAAAAACAAAAGCAAAACATAATACAACTTCTATTTTTGTATGCTACTATTATTGTAAGCTTAAAGAACAATATATGCTCCTATATACATATGTATAGCTACTTATATGTTTTATACCATATGTTACACTATATATACATATATATCTATATATATTATACTATGAGCTAGTATTTTTTTTAAATAACTATTTTGTAAATTGTGTGTGCCTGTATATGTATTTGTATTATCTTAGCTCTATTTACAAATAATCTTTTGTATTAACTATTTAACGTTCATTTCGAGTTGTATTTTATTTGTTTTTTTTTTTTTATTATATTTTAATTTTGCTTTTGTATTTTAGTTAATATATATATGAATATTTAAATTGAATAGTTGTGCATTTTGTTGTTGCTGTTTTTCTCGTCAATGTCGAGCTGTCAATCAATCAAATTACTTTATTTTTGCCCAATGATCAATGGACTTAACTATATTTACATATAGTCAATCAGTCAATCAATCAATCTGTGCTTTGTATATGTCTCGATGCTAATTTTTTAGAGTGTGCAATAAATTTTAGATATAGACATATATCACAATCGTATTAACTGAACAACAACAGCAACAAAATTGTCATTTTAATTGTATAGCATTTATTTTTGCATTCAAAACAGAAAAGATAAACACAAAAACCAGAACAGAGTGCAGCACAAAGCGAAAACAATAAAAAATGCTATCGAGAAATGTACATTGTTTATCCTTTTATTTTCCACAGCAGGCTCAAAAATTTTACTAAAAACCGCACGGGCAGCAAAAGTATTTTAATATATCCGGAAAACAAGCAAATAGATCAGACGCACGATATAAGCATAATCAAAAATGTCCTTTCCAGATTCTTAGTAGTCATATAACCATACAGAGAAACTTTTATAAATTTTGATTTCTACATTCTTAAACCTCCTTTGGGGTCTATTGATTTTCGAGAATTGTTCAAAATTGTTTTGGCTTGGGCTTGGGGCTTTAATAATATAAACTCTCATATATCATACGCAAAACAAGATATTTGTTTCGATATCTCCTTCTCTTAAAGTCGATAATTATCGATTTTTAGACATCAAAGAAAATAATGGTTCTTTGAAAATACATATAACAGGCAATAGAAAGCATCTCCGAACCAGTAAACCATATATAATTGTTGAGCAGGGCGATATGCTGTAATCGTTATAGCTTTGTCCTTCTGTCCCCCCCATCTTTATGATTATCGATAAATATTGATTTGAGGACAACAAGTTCTTATGCATAACTCAAAGATTATAAAAGCTAGACACACCGAACTTGGCACATTTGCCACACACACACCCATTCCACCAAAAATGAATCATTCTTAAGCGTAAAGCCCGACAGCTGTAAAAGAAAACATAGCTTCACTTTTACAAATAATGTTTTCAGACGCTTCTTAATTACACTTGTTAGATTCCATAAACTTTTGAATACGTTATTACTTTTTTAAAAGAAGAAAAGCATAATTTGTATTTAAAATATTTAAGAAACATTGTGATAAATGAACTAAATTAATAGTTAGGCCTTACATTATTTTGTGACGAATGTCTTGTAAGGATGGAGCTGTAAGCACCTAAGCTAAAAGAAGGTTTGATGCTGGAAACAGCAGTCGGGTAGGTACCGGCTTAGGATTGGGTTTGCTTAAAACAGGTTTGCAGCGAGTACGAAAAGTGCACACGACTTAAAGATTTAGTGTAGCCTGTTTTTAATGCGTAGTTGCATGTTCGTGCTTCTAGAATTGTTTTTTGTCTGGTAGGAATAGATAAATGAGGGCTATCTGCATAGATCAAAAGAATAAAACATGTTATGTATTAATCATTTTACGCGCCCGCCCAAAAGTATGCAGCATTTAAAAATGACGAAATTTGTGTTGCCATAAAAGGCCGCATAATTAGCATGGCGGCGCCACTGAGCAGGCAACATTTCGTTATGGAATTGTTCTAAATAAAATGTGCGCTAATTGCGAGCATTTATCGATAGGCAATTATCGATACGCGCACATTTTTAAAGGTTGTTGCTGTCGCTGTCGCTGTTGTCGGCGAGTCGGGCCAAACATTTGAGAAATCTTAATAAGCTGGACAAACCAAATAGAGGAGAAATAATCTAGGCAATTATAAGGCCGCAAACTGATACCACAAACAGGCCGAGAGTCGCGACTACTTCTTGCAAGTTCCAAAGAAAAATATGTTGTTGTGTGCGTGCCTGCGTATCTGCGTGCGTGTCTGCGTGTGTGTGTGTTGTGTGTCTCTGTGTGTGTGTGTCGGCATTCGCTTAAACAAATAAAGCTTGGAACTAATTGCATTTGCACTTGTTGTGCGATATTTCTATGTTGGAAATTATATGGACACGAGTGCTGCAGGCCCAGACGAGTCACGAATGCCAAATTGACTTTAGTTGTGTATACCCTGTAACTATTAGAGAGGGGTGTTTAAACCTAATAGAATAGATTAGAAGAAGATAGAGTAGACAAAAGCATACATTCTCGACAAAGTGACTCGTTTTGGCCATATACTCCCGGTATACTCAAAATTGGTGTGCCGACATCTTCTCACCTGTATACTATATCTAACTATAGTCCTTAGTAAATTTCTGTACTTTTCTGAAGGCAATTTCCAAACACAACTTTGAACCTTTAGAGTTTAGATCATAAACAAAGTAGTTATTCCAGACTGTGCTCTATTATAGTTATATATGAGTATGAAAGTGAATGTATTTTAGGCTTAAATTTCGAACCTAAAAACTATAAATACACATGTAAGACCCATTATACTCGAGAAGAGTAGAAGAGTTCGATTTATAAGATATGGTATATAAGCGCCTCTCTGTCTGTATGCCATAACCAGATAAAGTTCAAACAATATTCCTCTTGTTTGTGTCTTCTAACTGGTTCACTTTTCAGATACATCCTTGGACTTTTGGCATGCGTCTTCTTAAGCAGGATTGAAGCACAAAAAGGCTAACGAGCTTAGTAGATAAATGTGCCAGAGTAAAAGCTGCCTACAGGGTATACTCTAGACAAGCAGAGTCAGCCAATGCATTGGAAACTTGTTGCTTTTTTTGAGATGAGACACGTCATTTGTCATTTATCTGCGGCCTTTTAGCGTTTGGCTTAATTGACTTCTTCTACAGCGTCTACGAACAGAAATTGCTGTGCCCATAGAATGGAATAGAATAGAACTTTGAAGTCGGCCAGGCATCATCTTTTTAAGCAGCCATGTGTTATGGCCAATACCAATTGGCCATAGCGCGGAACATTTAGCTTCATTACGTCAAACCATTTCGAGTCTTAACCAGGGAGCGAAGCTCGCTGTTCGCGTTCGCGTTCGCTCTTCTGGCACTGCAGAACCGTTTTAATTAGATGTAACCATAATAAATCAACAACAATCTTTGTCTGTGTGCGTGACTGTTTGTGTGTGTCTATATATATGTGTGTGTGTGCGTGTGTGTGAGGAGCGTGAGCCCAGGACACTTTTTTTGTTCCCATAAGCCACAAGACAAATGACGAGCGAGTCCAAGACCAAAACCAACAACAACAACAACAATCTCGGAGATTCTCTGTAGTTGTTGTTGCCTTCGGTCGGTGCCATTACATAATGCCAGCTGAGCAACAGCTGAGCAACTGTTGAGCAAATGAGCACTTGACATGCGAGACGCCACTTTGGCAAAGATCTTCACAAACTCATGAGTGCGAAGCCAATCCTGAACACAGTTAGCTGTGCAATGTTGGGGAAACACTTCAAAATTAAATTGGGAAATATTAAGTCATTAGGCTCTAAAAGAGTTCCTCACATCAAATAGCCATATATTCGAGAATCAAGCTGTTAAGAACGTTTAAGGATGGCGCACAAAGAATAATTGAAAAATTGAATGCTCTCGACAGCGTATGGGCTAAGAAATGAGAGATAGTTAGACGGAGAGACGTATGGGCGGGACAAGATGTAAGAGAAAGATAGAGAAAATGATAAGAACACATCAATGTGTAGAGGAAGACGATGAAGAAAAAGCACAGTGTGAGGGACATAAAAAAGCTCGAAAGTAAGAAACAGATTTTCATATAGATAACAATAGGTAAAAAGATAAAGGAAAGTTAAAAGAGTTAGTAAGAGTGAGAGAGAGAGAGAGAGAGAGAGAGAGAGAGAGAGAGAGAGAGAGAGAGAGAGAGAGAGAGAGATACAGATAGAAGGGCAGAGAGAGAGAGAGAGAGGGAATAAATGAAACGCCCACGTTTTTGCAGATATGTGAATGATATTGATTCTACCTATAGAATTATATGATATAGTGGCTCGATATTGAAAGTAGTTTTCTGAAATGTTAGAAGCAGGACAGAGCTCGTAAAAGCCAAGATTGGTGAAGGTATATTAAAAAGAATAGGCGACTTTTATATATATATATATATATATATATATAAAGCACTTAGGCAGCAATAACTATTAAGAGTTGTCACCAAAAATGATGTTTTAAATTTGTATGTTAAAAAAAGAGCTTCGATTGCCAAGATTTGCGAATGCGCATTTGCAACTCTTTGCCGCTTGCCCTGGCAAATGATGCACCATTTATGCGGTTCCAATAGATATATATATATATATACATATATATATATATATGTATATAGATGTATATATAAATGCATTTAGTAGTTATGTCTTAGCTTTAGGGCGTCAGTCAAGCAGTTAGATTGAGCATCTAATCGCGTGCAATTGCAATTTGATTTGGTGGCAGCTAATGACACAGATTACGCAGCGATATAAGCCAATGATATGGAGCAGCCAGCTCTTTGGGCTAGTTGGCCAAAATGCTGCTGTTGTTGTTGTTGTTGTTGCTGCTGTTTTTTTGTTTTGGCTTTAAGCTGAGTTTAACCCACATTCGTGGCGCGTTGCTAGCTACCATTTGACAAACGCCTGAGCGCAATGCAAATTGCAGCCAGCCCCCTGCCCCCTGCTGTCTCTCACTCACTCTCTCTCTGTCTCTCTCTCTGCTTCTCTGTGTGTATCTCTCTCTTTCTTTCTAAGCGCTGTCTGCAATGTGCACAGCGCATGCAATTTTCATGAAACCCTACAACATTACACTTGGACTTGAACTTGCGAATTTGCTAGACGACGAATCAAGCCAACACCAACATGCAGCAGCAGCAGCAGCAGCAACATGCAGGAACATGCAGCAACAATATGCAGCAGCAGCGGCAGCAACACCACCAACGCCAGCAGCAATCAGCGGCAAGTGAATGAGCTTAAATTGTCCATGGCTGGCAGAGCGTGCGGGAGAGGGGGTGACTGCGGTGTGTTGCCGTGTTGCAGCTGCATAAGCCGCACAGCTTAGACGATGGCTGGCCGACTGCCTGCCTGGCTGGCTGCCTGCTTACCTGACTTGCCAGATTGTTGCATGTTGTTGCCCGAACGCCCTCAGTACGTTATTATGCGGCTGTTATTGTTGCAACTAGTTGTTGTTGCTGTTGCTGTTGTTGCTGTTGTTGTTGTCTGGTCGCTCGTCTGTGGAGCATCAAGGCACTGGGGCAGCGAGGCATCAAGTTCGCAACGGGCGACAGCCAGCACGCATACCCAGCAATTGCTGGAGCTGGCAGGCGGGAGTCGGATGAGGCGGGAAGCGGGAGGCGGATGAGGCTAAGTTAGAGACTAAGACGGATGCAGAGCAACCGCAGTTACTTTGGTTAGGCACACACTCACACACACA